AGCTCTCGGTTTTTTCGATGGCGCGCACTCGTCGCCGTCTAATATTAATTCCAAGCGCGCGGAATCTCCGATCTCTTTCTGTTGGCCAGCTGGTTTGTACACGGTTCTGGGAAGCCGCGTCCTGCGTGCCGACGACGGGATATATCGCTCGGTGTCGCTACGCTCGCGACGACGAGGAGCGCGCGCGCTATTGAATTTTTGTACGCGCTTACAAAGCCGGGCCTACGGTCGATTCGACGAAAGTGCAACTCGACCAGGCGCCAGCTGTTCTCCTCTTTCCGCCGCTCCGCGTCTCGACGCCTAGCCTTTTCGAAATTTTCGTCTCGTCATCGTCTTGTGTTCCTCTTCCGCTTAGACCTATCGATCTTGCCATTCCATGAAATTCGTGCTACATACTTCTCTTCATTTTCGGAAAGATATGTTTTTTTGTACTTTGATCTGCATTTTAATGCACTGAGTTTAGTAACATTTATAATAAATGTTCATTATTATTCTTATGAACCATTCACTTATATTTGTAATTCTCTATACTATTCACAATATACTTATAATACTACCTTGACAACAGAGAGTATTCTATATATCGTCTATTTAAAAAAAAAATGTTTTTAATAATTTGAACAAGGAGTTGCACTAAATATTGTTTAAACCCATCACTACTGATATACATGTAATCCTCCTTTGACAACAGACAATGTTCCATACATTCTTTTCTCCATTTTCAAAGAATTTATTTTTAATAATTTGACTCATGATTTTTTGCATTTGATGCACCGTTCAGTATAGACGTTTAATACAATTCATGATGAATATTGCTTAAATCCATCACTACTAATGTACTTATAATCCTCCTTCGACAACAGACAATGTTCCATACATTCTTTTCTCCATTTTCAAAACAATTTATTTTTAATACCTTGACTCTTTACACTAGAAGTTAAGACGATGTGGAGTATACAGACTCTTTTTGAATCCACCAGATCAATATTAAAATATGCAGGTTGGCCAGGAAATCAAATTCTAACTCGAAAGATTCGACTTGCAAGTTTCGAAAGACTTTGATTTGTAAGCATGGTTTCGTAAACTCCCGACTACATTGTCCCACGTTCTAGGTCCCACGTCCAACAGCCCAAACCAGAAGAGCCAAGAAAACGCATTAAAAATTGATTTTAACCTACATCGTACGTGACAGTGCACCGTGATATCGTCGAACGAGTTTCACGACCTTTAAAGATTAAAGTTCGCGGTATTCAGTCTAGTCTCGATTTATGAACAAGCAGGAAAGTTCAATCGCCTGTGGTCTCCACGTGCAGATGTTTCGAAATCGACAGATGTCTCGTGACTTCCAACTGGTTGCCGAATTCGTTCGGTTTTCGCGATTTCCATTCGGAAGCCTTGATATTCATCGATCGTGATAGAATTCTTCGGTGCTCGTTGAGTGTGTTTCGAGAATGCGTTTTGTAGTTCGTTTCAGAATTCTTGGCTAGGTCTTTTTCTTTCTTCTCTCCGGGTGTTGTTATTTTTGAAGCGCTGGAGCCTCCTTCAGGAACATTCGAACTGGTACAATTTGTATTTGTCTCATGCACAAGATTTTACGTTTATCTGCTTTTACCAGCTTTATGTCTTTTTTTACAAATTATGTTATTGTCAATCTTGTTAGATTTTAATGGATGTTCAATTTAAAAAATTTTTTAAATCAACCCTTATAAACAATTAAGATAAATAGTTTGGTTGAATATACATATACATTTTGCATATATTTTATATATATTTTCATTCATTTTCTATTTACAGTAAATAAAAATGTATCTGTTATATAGTCAGCATTATTGTAATACATTTAATTGAAAATCCCTATCGTGATCTATTTTGTAAATTAAAGAGTTGCTTGGTAAAAAAAAAATTAAGAAGTGTAAAGTTTTAAAAAATGAGTGATTAAAGTCTCTTCAATTTTTGTTGAAATACTTTAAAAAATTAAAAAGAATCATTTTATTTAAACTTCTTAAAACAAAATAATTTAAACCAAACCTAAAATGTAAACCTAAAGTAATGTACACAAGTGTGTAATTTACACTTGAAAGGTTTTAAAAATTGACTGATTAAACTCCCTTCAATTTTTGTCAAAATACATTAAAATATTAAGAAGAATCATTTTACTTAAACTTCTTAAAAAAATATAATTTAAATCAAACCTAAAATGTGAACCCAAAAGAATTTACACAAGTATGTAATTTACACTTGAAAGGTTTTAAAAATTGACTGATTAACGTCCCTTCAATTTTTGTCAAAATACATTAAAAAATTAAGAAGAATCATTTTACTTAAACTTCTTAAAACAAAATAATTTAAACAGAACCTAAAATGTAAGCCTAAAATAATTCGCACAAGTGTACGATTTACCCCTGATTCGAAATTAAAAGAACAGAGATGAAATCGAAGAAAAATAACTCTGTAAAAAAAGAAAAGAAAATTGCGAAGAAAGTTTAAGCGAGTAATTTCCCGAAAGGGTTGAATCGCCACGTGGTAAGCGAAAGTGCACGACGAACGACAGTGCAAGTTTCCAACGATAGCGAAAGCTCCCGACGTGGCGGCCACAGCTGTAAAGCTATTAGAGAGAGAGTTTTGCGGCGGGTCGTTGGAAAAGCGGCCAAGAGAGACAGCGGGAGAGAGAAAGAGAGAGAATTATCGTTCTCTCTATGTACACCAGCCATTATGTGCATCCAGCAGCGATGCAAAAGCTCGCTGTCGGTGTGCATCACCGTGTGCCCGGCACGCGTGTGCAAATCTACGTGTTACATGATGGAGTTGAGAGTATACCGTGTACTACTATGTGCCATCATCGCCAGCCAGAGAGAAAGAGAACGTCAAGGGATCAGAAAGGGAGGTTAAATGCCGGTCGATATCTCACGGAGGACCAATGTCGCTTTGCTTTTTGGCGATGGCTTCGAACCGCTCTCGAACAAAACAAATTTCCATCTATGTTTCTTTTTTGTGTCTTTTGAATTTTGAATTTTGGATGAAGAGTTTATGTGAACAGTGTTGAAAATGTAACATTCTATGAAGATTATTAATGTTGTAACATTATATGTGTTGGAACAATTAGTTAGGGGATGAACAGTTTATATAAACAATGTTAAAAATATAACGTTCTATGAAGATTGTTAATGTTGTAAATCAAACATTATATGTGTAGAAACAATTAATTAGTTAGGAGATGAACAGTTTATATGAACAATGTTAAAAATGTAACGTTCTATGAAGATTATTAATGCTGTAAATTAAACATTATATGTGTAGAAACAATTAATTAGTTAGGGGATGAACAGTTTATATGAACAATGTTAAAAATGTAACATTCTATGAAGATTATTAATGTTGTAAATCAAACATTATATGTGTAGGAACAATTAATTTGTTAGGGGACAAACAGTTTATATAAACAATGTTAAAAATGTAACATTCTATGAAAATAAATAATCATGACGATCAAACATTATATTTGTAGGAATAATTAAACATGAGACTACATTATTGTATCATTAAAAATGAATAGCTATAGAAATCATATTTTTAAACTTTACTGAATGATTTTATAACTGAAATATAATTAGATGTCATGTCAAAATTAATCATAAACTTGATATATTTTATTAATAGTAAAGATAAATCACAAACTTGAAATATTATATTAATAGTAAAGATTAATCACAAACTTGAAATATCATATTAACATGTAAAAAATAATTCCAAACTTGAAGTATTATATTAACATGTAAAAAATAATTCCAAACTTGAAGTATTATATTAACATGTAAAAAATAATTCCAAACTTGAAATATTAATATCAAAAAAAGATTCCAAACTAGAAATACTAATATTAAAAAATAATTCCAAACTACAAATACTAATATTAAAAAAGAATTCCAAACTTGAAATATTAATAATAAAAAAGAATCCCAAACTAGAAATACTAATATTAAAAAATAATTCCAAACTACAAATACTAATATTAAAAATTAATTCCAAACTTGAAATATTAATAATAAAAAAGAATTCCAAACCCGAAATACTAATATTAAAAAAGAATTCCAAATCCGAAATACTAACATTAAAAAAGAATTCCAAACTAGAAATACTAATACTAAAAAAGAATTCCAAACCCGAAATACTAACACTAAAAAATAATTCCAAACTTAAAGTATTAATAATAAAAAATCCTCCCAAGCACCAAAAAACGAACGACCATAAAACACACCACAAAACCGTGATCATAAAACGAAAAATCGAGCAAGAAGATGAATCATGCATGTAAAGATAAAACGAGTTAACGAAGGAAGAAACGAGAAACGCGAAGAGCTCATAGCCATCGTCATCGCTCTCTAAGCAACGTGAATGAACCGTCCGGGTATTAGAGTACAACATTCGCGGGTATCAAAGCGAGCGAGTAGGTGTGCAGACACGCCGAACGTAATAGTAACCTTGGCTTTAGCGATGGTCACGTTATGGTAACGTCTATGACACGTTCCCACGTAGTCGCGTGTCACGTTCTAGCTTACGATCGCCTCACGTGACCACGGTGAAAGGGGAGGGTTAAACGAGCCTTGTCATCGGCCTTTTTATCTCCTCATACTTTTCTTCTTCTTTTTCTTTTTATTTTCTCTTTCGTTATACGATTCTGGCTATCGCGTTTGCACCTTCATCTACGAAATATTTCTTATTTGCATTCGAATTTTAACGAAATATTTTTCCTTGTACTCGATTTAATTTTTGTGATCTTTTAGAGAGATTGCAAGTTAGGTTTGTTTTAAGCCTTTCTCTTTTGTATGTCATTGAGATTTAATGAATTTTTTTAATAGTACTTGAAACATGTTTGTGAAAATGAAAACGAGATGTGATATTGAAGGTTCAATAAATTTGTATAAATTTTATAAATGATAAGATAAATTTCATAAATAAACCATGATAATATCTAACACGCAAATATATATTTTCTGTTCCAGATCGTACAAATCAATCGCCTTCTAACAAGCCACATTAACCTCAAGTGATTTCTATTTTCTTACGAAGCGCGAAAGAAGTAATTAGTGTGTTTATATCGACGTAAAGATACAAAAAGTAAAAACGAAAAAAAAAGCAAGAAGTAGAAGAGGAAGTAAAAAAATATTCGAAGAGCTTAGGTTCAGAAGAGGAAGACAAAACATTAAGAGCTATAGTAATCTAATTAGTGTACAAAGTATATCTGAAACAAAAAGAAAAAAAAAAGCTAAAGTCCGCCAGTGCCAAATCGAAAGACGAGAATAACAAAAGGGAAACAAAGACGATTATAATAACAAAAAGTAAAAAAAAAAAAAAAATAGAGGAAGAGGAAGACACGAAGACAAAAGAGTATAAAAACTATTGCGCGAAGAAAAAGAAGGATAAAAAAAAACCGTAAACCAAAGAATCTACCATTTCTTTTTTCTACTAATCACTCAGCAAGCTAACGATATACACTCGGTAACCAGCGAGGGATCGAGCGAGCTATAGCGATCGCTCGAAATCGCGAACAGATTAATTAAGCGGGAATAGCCGAACCGACAAAGTTTTCTAAGCTATAAGGAGTTCTATGTAATAAGCGAGTAATAAACTAAAGTAAGATTAAAGTTTTCATTTTTTTAAACAAACGGACGCACCTACTAGAGAGGAAGAGAGAGTGCGAGAGAGCGAACGAGAGAGAGAGAGAAAGAGAGCGAACGTATCTAATTAAGGAAGGAGTCCCATCCAAAGCGAAAGACGGAGACGGAGAACGCAGGCCGCCCTATATATCCAGAAAAGGGGACTCGCATATAATTACTCCCAGAGAAACCGATCTACTTCAGTTCGTAGCCTAAACCTGTTGAGTACAAACGACAGAAATAGAGTTATAGAGAGAGGTAGAGAGCGAGCGAGATCGCGAAAAGAGCACGTGAGATAGCAAGCAAAAAAATCGATCAGAAGGAAGAAAAATCGACCACACACGCAGGGTACATACGCCAGAAACGGACACAGAGAAACACAGAAATCGACTTTACAGCAAGAACCGGTAGAAGTCAGGGTGTCGAAGATCCAGCGCCTAATCCCGATAACGAGCATCCGGTCACGATCGCAGGGCTCCGCAAACGGGAACGGGCAAGGAGCGAGCGCAAGGTCGCGAGGTGACGAGATCCCATAGATAGAAGACAGCCGAAGAGGAAATTCTCGAACGGTAACGCGACCTCCTGCGAGCAGGGGGCTCGAGTCGAGATGACGTGGCGAGGAAGATGAGCGCCGAGGTCACGAAGGAGGTCGTCGCCACCGAGAGGGTATCAGGTAGCCCTCCGGCGGCGGTAGCGACCTCGCCGAGCTCGGT